TACATAAGCGAAATTTCTTTACTAGCTGAATTCTCTTATCTATTGGAAGTTTAAGAAAATCTTCACAGTAATATAATGGATGATTTGCCTTACATTGTGGGCAAGCCAAATTAGATGTGGCAAGATTCGTGACCGAAGATCCCTTAGATTTAATAGGAAATTTTGATGTATTACTAGATTGAGCAACTGGTGTCTTGCTATAAATTGTTTCAAGCGCTTGGCAACGTTTAGAGAGAAACTCCGTCAATGATTTTAGATTTGGGATTTCCTTGTCAGGAATACTAGTTTCCCATGCTTTAGCTGTCGCGGTATCAAGTTTAGAAACGATGATATGAATAATTAAGTCGTCCCATGTTTCGGTGGGTCTTTTTATAGCCTTAAGCGCACGCAAATGTTTTAAAACAGTATCGAGTAGCTCACGAAGGTTGTTATGATTCTCTTTAATCAGCGGCGGAGCTTCAAAGATGGCTCGGAGGTGTTTCTGGATTATCCAGCGCTTATTGTCAAATCGCTCCTTAACAGCTTCCCAAGCCTCGTTGTAATTGTCGGTAGTGGTATCAATGGATTTTATTATCTCTGCAGCCTTGCCCTGGAGTGACGACCGCAGGTAGTGGAACTTTTCAATTTCCGATAAATCCTCATTGGTATGTATCAATTTGTCGAAGGTATCTTCGAATGAATACCAATCGTCATAGGCACCTGTAAAAACTGGAAGTACTATCTTTGGCAACCTAACACGCGATTCCCTGTTGACGCTAATAGGAGTTTCATTTTGACGTGCCGGTACCAGTGCCGGTGAGACACGCTGTAATTGCCGATCATAATGATCGAGAAGAGAATTATAACGCGTCATTAGGTTATAATAGGGAGTTTCAAAACTCGCTCTTTGTTGTGCTTGCTGAGCTTGAAGTGCTTCTTTGTCGGTGACTGTTGGGTCAGCGTTTTCGAGGATTTCTATTCGCGATTGCACGACGTCAAATTGACTCCATAATTCGGATAATCTAGTTTTGCGTTCGGTCAAGTCGTGTCGCGAACCTTGTTGTACGTCGAAGTTTTCAATGTAAGTTTTCAATCGTGTTGCAGAGGCCTTTATGACAGTTCGTTTATTCTTAGCTTCTGTTAGCGTCAATGTATCCATAATTAGTGAATAGAATTAATGCGAAATAGTGAACTTACCTTTGTGAAATAAGTATTGTAATAAAATGGTCTTACCACATAACCTTAAACTTGCGTATGCCTTTACTGAGTGAGCAATCCTTGTATCTCTGAGATTGGCCTCAGATGAGAATGCTTATGATAATTTAGATAATCGTGATAACTTGCTATCCGGTTGTGTATCCGGCTCGAAGGACCAACTTTTGTTGAAGCTCAGTGTCTGAACCTCGTGGCTTGTGCCGTCGCGTAAGTGGACGCGGGTTTTCTCTTCCTGGCTTGTGCCTAAATAATGTTGCAACGGTGCAGGTCTTGCGATGGATCTTGTGATGGATTGAATATATATACAAGACCAATATGTTTTTTCTAGAAACTTGTATTTCTCTGTATCGCCTAACGATTGCATCAGCAAGGTAACAGACAGACACACTAACTCGCTAGCGAAGGCAGGGGTCAGGCCCGAGCATACAGCGGTGTCAGGCGGCGCGCAAGCGCAGTAAAAAAGAATCGTAACGCATAGCGTGTACAAAAG